CAATGAGATGAATCAGATGATTAAACATGATTTTTACGTGCCGCAGTTGGTGCTTGTGTGTGTGTGTGTCTTTCTCTCTCTCCCTCTGATTCCCCAGGTGCAGCCTGATTGTTCCCAGGTGCAGCCTCTCCCCAGGTGCTCCCAATCCCCAATCAGCGCCTCTATAAAGGACCTGAGGAAGGCTGCAGTCGTTCTCTCCTTCTCCTCTGGCTGCATGTGTACAGCCTGTGTTACGTGCTGTAGTGTCTCTGTGTGAGGCCTAGTTTAACCTGTGTACTGCTAATTGTTAGGAGATGTGTGTCTTTGTGTATTGTTTTACGTTAGTCACTTTCTTTTTAAAGAAAGTTGTCCTTAGTTAATTAAGTTTGTTTTGCAATTTGGCTGGTGAACTTCTTTACTTTTTTATTAATTAAAACCTCACTTTGTGGCTTCAGCATTCAGTTTCCTCTCCTTTTTCTCTCGGCCGGTTATTTTGTGTGTTGTTATTTCCCTTTGTACCCCTAGATTTAGAAGGGAACGTAACAGTGATCTTAAAATATATTTTAATTTATTTTTTGCATTTTGTTGTAATCATTATTTTAATACTTTCTGCTGACACTAGGTGGGGCTGTGTGCCCCTAATGACCAGTCGCCACTGTTTAGCATGTTTGGCGTGTGTTACCATTAGCATACCGCACCGCTGTGGAACAACGCTGGCACACTGTCCTCGTCCGATCCACCACTCGCACTCCATCGTTGTTGTAGTCCACAGGGAACCCGACATTTCCCCACACAGCTGATTTAAAAGAAGCAGGTGGGTTCTAGCTCCTGTCATGGATGTATAATAAGAACTGGATACAGCGTGGGAGGCGGGGCCTCATTCATTCCTATGAGAGTTGCTCATTGGCGCATGATGATAAAATGGCCCAACTTTTGAGAGAGTGAAACGTCACAGATTACCCAGCATGCCTGAGAAGTACCCGTATGTGCACTCATAGCGCATGCGCAACTTTAACCAAAATGCTCGTTCACATTAAGCACGTCAATTTGCGTACACGTAACAGCACCGCGCGTTCATGACAGCATGGTAATGATTTGTTATTATGATGGATTTGATATTAACGAGGCGGCAGCATGGGCGGCAGTTAGCAGCTAGCGGCTAGCTAGTAATTATGCTAATTTATACATCAATCCTTATACTTTTATATTACGCTGTAACAGGATCTAGTGATATCCAAGCAACAGAGCTTCATTTGCATGAAATAATTATTAAACTGTATATATATATATATATGTGTATATATATATGTATTATAAATAGTGTAATGGCTACTGCCCTGAATGACAGACTTTTTTCCCACTCGTAAAAAAAAGTATTCGTCGTGTGACTGCATGTGCCGAACCGTGACGGTACGGGACGAATACGGATACAGTTACACCCCTACAAGCTAATGTTCACTTCAGATTCAAGAGAAAACACCTTGTTTGTATTGTTCCATCACTTGATTTTGGAGCAGATTTTGGAGCAGTATTTTTTCCAGTGTTTTTGAACGAGGATGCTTCCACACTCCTATTAAGAATGAACGCACTGTTACTTCGCTTAGAAGCCCTATCAACCTTTAGGCCTACTTGCCAAAGAAACCGTGTTGTAATACTTTTTTCAGGGAAGAAAATAACAATTCAAGTTCCAATATGTGAATTGTTTATCCAAATAACACATTTCTGGGACTTTACGCCATTGTTTGGAGCTGCTGGCTGCGTGAGAGCGGCCTGTTATTACGCAAACATCATAACAATGTTTTTTTTAATATGTTCAATGCCAGAAGGATGTAACTTTGACCATGGGATATCAAATACAAATGATATTTGAAATAACGAGAGCTACCAATGTGATCAATAGCTGGTAGAATGCTAACGTTCACTTGCTAGCTTGTTTGATGTTAAATGTACATTTGCTAAATAATAGTTACACAAATAGCTAACACTCACTAGTTAGCTAGGTAGAAAGATAACTGGGTTTGCTAGCTATCTTGTTAGATATGTAGCTAACAATCCGATAGCTAGCTAATCAGCAAACTGACAGGTTAAGTGGGTCTTTAGGTAAGCTTGTTGAGCTTCACGTGGAACTAATGCATAGCCGCGTGAAGTAGGGGTGCTGGGGGTGCTGCAAAATCCGAGTCATCTAGGTCGTAGGTCGTGGGATAGTGACGTAATTGACGTGACACACACTGCAGAGTGACAGTGACTTTCTAGAATGGCGCAAAAACAGGATTTTTTCCAACAAACAACCCAATAAAAAGAGTGGACCACCAGCTACTCCTCAGCCCACCACCTCTACAACTCCTCGCTCCGTCTACTTGTGAGCCACCGGAGTCAGGAACTGGGAGAACTTTTCCCATTACCACCAGCGATCGAGAAAATGTGGAAGGAGAAGAAGCTAGTGTCGCTAATTTGGAATCAATGGAGAAGCCGCACCAGACAACTGTCTTCAATTTTTCCGGTAGACAGTTTGACAAAGAAACCTTCTGTCGGTCATTTAATGGAAGTTGGTTTGACAGATGGAAGTGGCTCCATTATGTTGAGGAAAGTGACCATATCATGTGTTTCACCATAGGCGGCGCGTGAGGCTCAGGTTTGGGAAGGCTAAATAACTTCTTTTTTTATCTGACGCTGCCCGCTATAGAAAAGAGATCAACTCAGTGAAAGCACCGCCTGCTGACCGATCAGAGCTCACCCTGTGTTTCACATGTGTCAAAGCAGTTCAGAAACAGCTAATTAATGAAGACAGCGTGAGGATGGATGTTAGCAGCTTTGTAAAGGGGGGATTCTCTAACTGGCGGAAGGCAACAGAAAAATTCAATGAACATGAGAAATCGAAACTTCATAGTGATTCAAGCCAACGTATTGCTGTAGTATTGCATCATAAAAAGAAATGTGGTATTTGTTCAGGTGAGTCCGGTTTGGGTGTGTTACGTTTTCAGTTCACGAAAACAAATGACTCATTTTAACAAAGTCATAATTGTTGAAGGGTTTATGGAGGCTAACAAAGGACTGCAATTACAGTGAATTGGATGATTGTTGACATTTGTAGGGTGTGTGTGTGGTGATTATACCTCTACGTGCACAATAATGCTTTGTGTTTTTTTATGAAATGTTAAGTGTTTTGACCTACATTTTACAAAAAAAAATTAAAGGTCCCATGTCATGGCCATTTCTACTGATCATAATTCCATTGTTGAGGTCTAGAATAGATTTACATTGTTGAATTTTCCAAACTCACATTGGTTTCTCAAACAGCATCTCTGTATAATATGTGTATTCACTCTCTGTCCTACACGGCTTGTTGGAGCTGTGGTTTCCTGGTCGGCAAGACAGCGAGACACAGCGAAGCCCAGCCCAAAAAGCAGCCCGAGCAGACACACACACCCGCAGCCTTTGAGGGTTTTTGACTCTGCAGACCGTTTACATGCAGAAAAACCTACAAAACACACAAGGGGACGGGTGATAACCGGAAAAGCATGACATGGGCCCTTTAAATGCAAAAAGTGTGACGTCCGTCTTCTTTTTCCGTTGTTTATTACAAACCAAGTTATCAATCAGACTGCCTTTGTTGGATTACAATTACAAAGCCTTTCAGTTCATCATTGTTAATGTGTGCATTTCCATTTGTATATAATACTAAATAGTTACATTGGGTTTTTAGCACCTGCTGATAAGGGCATAAGTTCTTACGTTGGTAATGATTGTTGTGTGATGAAAACCATTTTCAGCTAACATTTTGACATGTTATGTTTATATTAGTGCTGTCAAAATTATCACGTTAACGGCGGTAATTAATTTTTGAATTAATTGCGTTAAAATATTTAACGCATTTAACGCATGTGCAGAATGGCCCGCCCCATACGTGCCACCAGTGGCAGCGCCAGGGTATGGCTGGGGTAGGCTACACCCATACCAAGAAATGGCTTAGCCCCACCATGAAAAATGATGTTAAAGTAAGCAAAATAAAGTCTGCCAACTCGCGGAGTAAATTGCACAGACAGCAATTAGTAAGATTGATTTCAGTAGCCACGGTTTTGAAAACTTTTGTCACGTAGTGATCGTCTTCTCAAAAGAACATCTTTGATAACGGCGTGGTGTTGTTGCAGGAAGTCCCGACGGAGAATACTTTTGCTGTAGTACAGGGGTGCACATAACTGGTACGCAGGTTATGTGCTTAATCTGAAATGCGTACCGTCACTTGTGTCACAAAGCGCATTTGCGTACCGACGTACTTGTGAAGCTTTTCCAGAAGGCGGTTAGATCACCGGATGACAGAGTCGGTCTCCGTGTGCACAGACAGGGTTGCTGTTAACGTCGGTCTGTACAACGGAATTGTGCCAAAACTACGCCAACCGGCTGCGGAGGGAGACTCCCCCCCTTCACTGGAGAACTGCGCTAAAACAGCTGATCACAACGTTCACACTCTGTGGTCACGAAGTACTCCACTAGCCGCCCCCCCCGTCGACTTTCCTGAAGTACTCCCCCCGTTGATAGAAATCAACACGTAATGAATTAAGACCCCACGGTTTGATGATTGATAGGTGTGTGGGTTGTCTTTCATTTTGACACGCAGAAAAATGTTATAATAAACATAGATACTGTATGTTAAATGGATATATCCGCCTTCTTTCATGTATCTTTCCATTCCCACAACAATATACATAAATAAATGGCATATTTTGGAAAATAGTTCGAATGGTGATTAATCATGATTAATTAATTTTTAAGCTGTGAGTAATCTGATTAAAAATTGTAATCGTTTGACAGCCCTAGTTTAAATATGCGGTAACACTTTATATTACAAAAACCAAGCCAATACTATGCTGCGTTCATGGGGCTACGTGGAAGTGGGGAAGGACAATGCTTGATTGCGGATACGTAATTTCACATTCTAGCACAGTTTATTGCTCTTATACCTTGATTGTTGCCAACTACGATGCTCAACAGCTCGCTTAACGGAACTTTGACGCTGGTATCAGTTTACCACCAATCACGGGAGTATTGTGTATAGAAAGTATTGAGTTATATTTCTCGCGCTACCTAACATCCATGAAGGCAACATGACAGAGGGAGGCCTGCCACTCAGGATGCCAAACTACTCTTTGCTAAGCCCCGCCCCCTCAAGCAACATCAGGGCCAAAAGTTTGAAAGTGAAAAAAAAAGATCTGAAAGTGAAAAACGATCTGAAGGTGAAAAGCAATGTGAAACCTAAAAAAACAAGATTCTAAACTGAAAAATGTTAACTGTGTTCTTATTCTCAGCGTCCAGGAAAGATAAGCTTAAAAAGGAGACTAAATGGAGTCTCTGAGATGTTTTGAAATGTGGTACTTTAATTAATAAAAAGGCACGGTAAAGTCACAAATAGGATATTGTCTGACAGAAAAGCAGCTGTCTCTGGCTCTCGCTAGCAGAGGGAAAAGAGGCCGAACCGCTCAGGTGCTGCTGTTATATAGCTTCTGCAGGCTCCTCCCTGCGGGCCGGCCCTCCACATCTTAATGTCCGTTGTTACGTTAAACAGAGGATTCAGGCATTGTACATTCAATATATACTTAAACACGCCTCTTCTCCTCATATTGTCTTTCATCACTTTTCCTTTAACACATTCTAAACGTTGTAGTTAATATTCTAAAAAATACAGAAAATACTTCACGGCTGGTTTGGTTTCTGGTCATTCCGGATGTTGTCACATCTTACCCACGTCTGTAAACAATAACTTTATTCAAATAAACTGTACCTTCATTTAATATTCAGCAATAATAATACGTCTATAGTTGCAGTGTTAAAATCAGTAGGTTTTGGTGTGCATCACTCCATGTCATTTCGCTACTAAATTCACCTCTATAAGAAATGGTAAACTAGCCACATGCTAACTGCTAACCGGAGATGAAGGATTTTCAGAATAAAAGCTTAACAACTGGTTGTGCACAATAATTTTCTGGTTTTTCAGTATAAAACAGCATTTAAACTGAAGGTACATTTAAGGTACATTATGCCATCAAAACATTGATTTTAATTTCTAACAAAAAATAATTGTTTTGAATCTGAAAACGAAAAATCTGCAACTGAAAGGATTCTGTAGCATTTCCCTCCGAATAATGGTCGTAGGCTTTACTTTACTGATGAATTAGAATGTATTCAAACTCCAGACCCAATTAAAGAGCTTCAGCCTCTTCGGGGGGTGCTAACATTTAAATATACAGTCCATTCTTCTCTTTGTCCGCCGTTAAATAGAAGATATTACTTTCTCCGTCACGTTGTTTCTAATGCCACAACAACTTCCTGTCAAACACGTAATCTCGCCTTCAAAATAAAAGCATACAAATGAAACAGGAAGTTAACCTAAATTACATTTACGATATATATATATAAAACTACAACAAAAGCAACAAAAACAATGCAACATCCCCTTCAGTCTCAGATAACACAAATTGGGTTATCTACACTCCCACCAAAATTATGAATGTTTCATTTTCAAAACATGAACTATGAAGAATTTTCACATTTAAGAATGTCAGTGTAACTTTGCAGCAGCGACGTGCAGTCAGGGGAGGCAGAGCGTTCTCATAGACTGGCCATACTACAATGTAACGGAAAAACAACTAAAGAAAAACTAAATAGTAATAATAATAAAATGTCTCCACTGATCTGTGTTGTAAATGTGATTTCTGTTTGATTCCAATCGCTTTTTATAGTCAAAATCAGCAAATTTGCCGAGCTCCGCTACAACTACATGGTAGCGATGAGAAGTGAGGCAGGGACGAGCTCTGCCTCACGTAAGCCCACAGTAACTGGCTGGAGCGCAGGCACTAATTTAGCGCGGGCACTTATTTTGTGAGCGCGCTCAAGCCAGTTACTGTGGGGTGAGGTGAGGCACAGATGAGCTCTGCCTCACCTCAGAATGCGTCACCCCACAGAAACTGGCTGGAAAGCGGGCCCTAAGCTCATGCCTGCACCATCTCACTGTATGTCACCAATGTAATGTTTGTAGATCCCTTTATTACATTTATCCTCGCCATCCATAGTCTCTAAATAACTTATTTCACGTATATATGATAGAGATTGTTGTCCAGAAGGATAGCATGGACTTCATCTTCAAGTCAAGGTAAGACCACATTGGTAATGAAAATTGGTTCTTACTAAGAAAGAACAATCCAATATTTAGATGTTGGGTATCCTTTTGTTGAACGGTCTGTTTAAAATGAATCGAAACATCAGACTAAAAAGCTTTTGAAAATAACAGAATATCTCGATTAAGGTCAGAATATAATATTTGTAAATCTGACTCTGAAAGAGTCAGTGCCTCACCAGCCATGAACCTCACCGCACGTCACTGCTTTGCAGTCATCAGTTTAAGAAGCTTCTAACAAAAGAACCAGCTTCTACACTGGGCGCTCCAATATGGAAGGTTTACCAAGGCGCTCACCCTTCTTGTTCAGTCTCTTATCTCCAACTGAGATTTTCACTCTCCTCACAAATCCATCCTTACCGCTGACAGTCTCTAAGACTCTTGCCAGTCTCCATGGTCATCCATGTCCATCACTATATCACAGACTAGTAGATTTCTGTTTGGCGTGTGCCAGCGCTGTCTTGTGGACATGTTGTGAAGATATTTCTGTTTCCAGCGACTCCAGAACTGCTCTGCCAGATACTGTACATGACGCCATCTTTTTTACAAGTCCTCTCTTGGGAACTCACCAGGTGGGGGCAGTGCTGTGCCAGATTTCATGTTGATGAAGTGATTTGGGGTGAGTGGTTCTAAGCTGTCGGGACTGTTTAAGTTATCCACAGTGAGGGGACGACTGTTGACTATGGCCATGGCTTCATAGAGTAGAGTCCGTAGTGAAGCGTCATTGAGTCTATCATGGGAAAGTGACAGAGTAGTGTTCAAAACACTCCTGACAATCTTTATCTGGTGCTTTGTTTTCTCATGGTTGTGAGCTATAATCAGCTTCGTCACGTGGTGCTCTTTAGGGGTGACCTTTGGGTGCTTGAATGAGTCAGCGAGTGATGAATGGCGGAGACTTCCTCCCACCTTGAGGATACCATCTGTGTCCAGAAAAATATCACGGTCGTTTAATTTGTTGCAACACTGTAGTTGACTTCCTTTCTTTAACAGTCTTATTTCTTTCTCATATGTTTGACTTTGCAGATCTTGGATTATGACAAGTTCAGCACTTTCCAGTTCGCTCACTGTAACATGACCACCTGACTTGATGTTTTTAGCTCGTCGCAGAAGGCGGGCCACAGCTCTGATGGCTCGGGAACATGACGAAAACTTTGACAGACGGACGACAAGACTCATCGTTTCTGTGGTCTTTGTTTGCAGCGCCTGTGCCTTTTTAGGGTGGTAGATGCCATGATGGGGAATGTACCATTTTTCACCATGAGTTCCGTTGTCGTTTACTGCTTCGACATCATCTCTCTCAATGATTTATTTCATGAATGTTGTGTAGTCTTTTTTGTATTTCTCATCTCTGCAGAACTTTCGTCGTAGATGACAGAGCCTGATTTCAGCAAGTTTTTTGTTATCAGGTAATTGTGGCCGTTGCTTGAAGGGCAGAGGCATCTCATAATGTCCCTTGTCATTTTTCCTTATGCCGTCTTTGAGTTTTCCAAGGAAAACAAGATCCTCTTGTAAGACAGTTTTGTCATCTCCTTTTGTATCCTTAAAGTCTGACTCCAGGGCGCCTATCACATCCATCGGCGTAACTGGAGGGAGTTCCTTTACCGTAACTCTGTGACACAGGCTGGATTCAGATTTCTCGTGAGACGGTGTTGAGCAACCTACAATGCTCCACCCCAAATCTGTCAGGATGGCAAAGGGCTTGTTGTCTTTTCCTGTTAACACCTGTCTGGGTGTCAGTGCTCTGGGACAGTTGTACCCGATTAGGAGTCCGACATCACAGCTGAGGAGAGGTGGCATGTTATCTGTGATTGCTGTTAAGTGAGACCATAGTTTTGCTGTGTCATGAGAGGGAATATGATCACGATTCGCAGGAATACAGTCTCTTGTGTAACCATGAGGAAGGTCGATGTGCAAGCAGGAATTAAAGCCTCGCACACGGAGTCCAGACACTCTTTCACTCGTCGTGATAATGTTCTTTCCAAGCATGGTGGTAAGTTTCAGTTTCACAGGATTGGTGTCGGCTTGTAGTTCATTGCTTACCTCTTGGTCAATGAAGGTGCTGTCGCTTTGAGTATCTAATAATGCATAGACAAGCTGTTCTTTGGATGGGTTTTTAGCTGAGGACACCCACATAGGAACGATCATGGAAGTGCTGCCTGTCTGACTGCCTCCAGTGACGTTGAGTACCGTAGCTGCTTTGGTTTCATTTTCACTATTAAGAGCTGTGTTCACAGTGAAAACAGATCTTTCTTGATTTTCACGTCTACTGAAGTTCTCATCGTGGAGACAGGTAGGGTGCCTTCTCTGACATACATCACAAGTATGGCGGTAACGACATTCCTTTGCACCGTGACCTGGCTTCATGCAGCCGTAACACAGCTTATTATCTTTTACATACGTTCGTCGATCCTCCAGGGACTTTTCCATAAAGGTTGTACACTTGGGCAGTTGATGCTTGTCATATTTGCACCACAAGCAGGGGGGGCGTTGGTTTTTAACTGTTTATGGCAGTTTGCGTGCTGAAGACATTTGCTTTATTTCCCCTTGTTTCCTTAATGCCTCTTTTGTCATATGAGTTGGATGAGTAGAGAGCATGTAGAGAAGTGACTGGGTTGCATGCTATCTCTGACTCTAATGACACAAAGTGAGTGAATTCCTCAAAGGTGGGAAACTCTTTACCTTCCATGAGAGCGATTGTAACCTGGCGATTCCAACGTGCTGTTAGCCAATCAGGAATTTTCTGGATTAGCTTTTGGTTTTCTTCGCAGTCATTTAGAATTTCTAGACCCTTCACATGGGGCATGCTTTGCAGGCAGGCATTTAGAAAGTCAGAGAATGTTCTTAACCCTTCAGCGTCTTTGGGTTCTATTTTCTGCCATTTTGACAGCTTCTCCCTGAGAGCTCTTTGGATCACAAATGGCTGCCCAAAGCGTTGATTGAGCTCATTC